CATTTGGTTGAATTGGAAGATGTCTTTATTCATTTGTTTGTATGTGCTTTCGTTGTAAGCAGCCTATTAATTGATCTGCCGCTCTGTAGCAGGGACCTGCATCTTTTCACTATTTATTACCCCTTGAATCGTTGTCTCTTGCAGATTGTATTGGTAATTGTTTTATGCTTTCTTTCATATCATCAATTAAACGATAAAATAGCATCCTTGTGCAATCCTACCAGATACACGCCCATTGAACTAAGGCTTCCCGCTTAACCATTCTGTTCTGAGACCTCTGAGGTTTGTGTTAACTCTGTTTACTGTTACGGGCAGGGACTGGCTTCTGAACCGCCTGATCAAAGCAATGTGGTCTACCAGCCAGATGGCTCAGCCAGGCCACAAACGACAAGCACATGTGCTGTGGTCTTTTCTCAGCGTTTTCTAATTAGGGGCACATGTCAACCCTGACCTACACAAGAGAACAGATTTTGTACTGCTTCACCGTGTGCAACAAGCCATGTGTTCTCTACCTGTCAGAAAGGGCAAAATTTGACTTAAATCACTGGAGAACGTTCATCATCATTTCTGTCTAGACAAAGCTCCATTTCCTTTAGACCTTTGAGAGTGATGGAGAAAAAGGGTGATTCGGAATTCATTGCTGCCTCTGATTTAGTAAGACGCCATGACTTGATTCCTTCATTCAATTCTGGGATTGTTATCTCATTTACAGAAAATCAGGTTTATCCACCATGATGCTGATGAGTGAACGTGGCCTGTCTGTATTTACTTTAATTCTGTAGTTTACTTTAATAAACTTACTTATTACTTTAATAAACTTACTTATCAAAGTAAACTTATCTCATTTACAGAAAATCAGGTTTATCCACCATGACACTGATGAGTGAACGTGTCCTGCCTGTATTTACTTTAATTCTGTAAGCTTACTTTAATAAACTTACTTATTAAAGTAAACTACTACTGTATTTATTAAAGTAAACTAAACCAAAGCAGACATTCACGCGTGGAAATGTATCTAGTGTGGCCTTATTGACAGCTGAAGTACTTTGAAAAATGAAATTTCCACCATATAGATCATAATGCTTCCAGCCATTTTAGTTTTGTCAACAATTTTAGATGTCTGAAAACAGCCAAGAATTAAATTGGAACAGTCAGGAACTTGCATAAAAATCTTAGAAGAAAATCAAGTTAATTTTAGTTTGGTCCAAATATTATGCTCAAAATCTGAATTTTCTGAATCTCACCTTCCAGTGTGCACAACTTTAATTAATATAGACTTAATATGGTTCATAAGAAGGGGATGAAAAGAATCCTTAGTGTGGATCACTACAGAAATAAGTCTTGCTGTTTCTGTGTTAATATTTTCTCTGCATCAGGTCCATGAGGAAAGCAGACTTGACCATTTTTAGCCTCATTTTCCTGTGATCCTTTTTGTTATTTAAAGCTCCTGTAATTGTAGTCAGAACACTTTAGTCGTTCTCCTGCTTTCAGGTTGCATTTTTAGCACTATTTTTGTATCTTAATAAATGATCAGAAGGGTGATAGACTGTCTGTGCAGTGCAAAGGCACCCAAAGGAGCTCTGGATACGCCAGCACTGGGGCCACAATGACACAGCCGCAGCGGCTCTCCGCACGGGCGGATGCAGCCTGGCTCTTAGCAGTGATGGTTGCCCAGGAGGAGCACGCTGCTGATGTGATTCTGTTGCTTGTGAACCTTTGCTAGATTAGTATCTTTACGTGGCATTGCAATATCCTACCTGCCATTAATTTTGCCGGTGTTGCAAATAGCCTGCAGCATGTTGATAAGTTAAACGTGCCTCTCGAGTGGACGTCAGGTGAGCAAAGACTTCAAGTTCATTTTCTAAATGCTTTGTCTATAGCTTATAACTCAATTCAGTGCACAACTATTGAATTTCCAAATGCAAATGTCACACAGTTGTCGATTATTTACTTTTCGTAAGTATATATGACCTGACCTTAATATTGGTTGTTAGAGCAGGCTCTAAAATAAAATTCTGGCCTCGCTGGAACTGTATCAGTTTCACTCTCGCCTTCCACAGTCTTCCCATATTCCGATACTGCTGAATTCCGCAGCAGAATCCCTGTAGCCTTTGATATGGAATCTGTTTCTTGTTTGCAAGAAGACTTTTTATTTTATTTGATACATAGATTTCAAAAGTCAGAGTTCAGATATTTAAACTTCTGTACTTCTGGCAGGTTGCAGTACCATTTAGAATTTATCTAGGCTCTCTGGGTTTGTTTCTGACCGCATACCATAACTCAGTGGGTTGTTGCCATTAACTCATTCATGCTTCTGTTTGTCACCAAAAGCTTTCTTTTGTTTCCAGGTTTGGCAAGAAATCCCGACCTGCAATGTATGATGCAACCCCCATTGCCTATGAAGATTACAGCCCAGATGACAAACCTTTGGTTACACTGATTAAGACAAAAGATTTGTAATCTAGTGTATCTTTTTTTGGATTATTTTTCAAAAGGATGGGCTACTAACCTAATTTAAATATTTTTAAGAAGAAAGCATAAGTAATTTAAACCATTAGATGCTTCAGAATTTTCTGTAGAATATTTAAGAACCAATTTTCTGCAGCTTTTAGTTTGGAAAAATATTTTAAAACAGAATTTGTGATCTTCATGAATTACAATTTACTGTACCTTGAGCTCTATAAACTATAAGCTTATGATAGTGTGTGCTTTTTTTCTTGGTAGACACTATTACTAAACCCAGATGAGTTTCTTGTGGTTGTTACAGAACAGAAAACAATAATTAATGAGGAGTTCTTTATGACATGTCAGTGCCAGCTTTCTCAGTAGAGGTAGGAAAAATGTGAAGCATAATATGATATATAATATATCCATTAATTAAAAAAGTCTAAAATGTTTGTGTTGTGAAAAAGAAACTAGTAAAAATTATTATTCCTAATCTGAATGAATTAGCTTTTGCCTTTTTCCATGCATGGGTAGATAACCTATTTCTCCATTATTTCCTGAAAGTTGCTGAAACATATTCTTGAGTTGATGTTTGACATTTTTGTAATAGTATTCAGGCTAGGCCTTGTATAATAATTAAAGTGCCTCTTGAGGCAAAGTAAGGGCGTGATCCTTTAAACATTGAAATCAATGAGAGAACGTCCATTGACTTCAGTGGGCACGGGATTGGATCCTACAATTGGACTGAATCTATATTTTTCTTTAAAAGTTGAAGTTTTTTATATTGTGAGTAAACTAAGCATATGGTTTGGGTTGTTTGTTTCCTAAGGGTTGTTGATGTACAGTATCGTTTCATGAAATATTGTGTATTTCTCATAGTGCTTCTTATTTAGGATCAGTATGGGGTTTTTGTGGCTGTATTTGATTGCTTATGGGCTTCCTAAAATTCTTGCTTATTTCAGAAAATATTGAATAAATGTTATCAAGTGAAAATTGCAGCTGTTTCTTTGTTTTTCTTCATTTGAAAGTGCAGTGTTGTCTATAAAATTGAAAGGACATGAGCGTGTAATGTGCTATAAATAATGCCAAAAGAGGATATTCCAGCTGTTAATTAGAAAAGGAAAAAATGGGCTTTATTATCAAGGTAATCGCTCAAAAGTGAGACAAATACAGCACCGGAGTAAAGATGCAGTCCTGCAGTCCAGGCCATATGCACCACAGCCCGTTCCTGAGCGGATCTGACTGCAAATCTGGACTCAAAGTTACAGCAAGAGTAAGGTTTTGTCACAGAACAACCTGTTTACGTGAGTAGGCTTGAGCTGACTTTGTGTTTCGAAGAGGCCCGCTCCCGGGGAAGCCAAAACCGCATGGTATAGAGGCAAATTGCTGTAGCTACCTACAGATCCTGCTGCGTGGCGCTGTGCTACGTCCAGCCAGTGCCGTTGCGCTACGGGCCGCTAAGCGCCGAAGGGCTGAGCTCCGGTTGACCTCTTAATGTTGGGGAATCTTGGAATGCAGCCAAAATCTTCATCTTTCACATAAATAACATTTCCAGACGGGGGGAAAAAAAAAAATGCCACCGGGAAGTTTGATCATCTCTGTGTGAGGACAGCCGTTGTCTCAGGCAGCCCTTCCCTTTCCTTGCAACCGCTGACATCTCCAGACCTCAGATCAGCCACTAAAGACAAACGTAATTAAGAATTGTGAAGACAAAAAAGCTGCCACCGGTTTTACTGTCTTGTTTAGGTGGGCAGGGTGCATCCGGTATGTTACTTTTAATTTTGAATTTTGCTACTATTACGGCTTCTGGTTACAGTCATAGCAATTAAATTATTTTCCACATCTTGCACAATTAGTGCTATCAAGAGGTAGACAAATTATTGCAAATCAAGCTATTAGAGTTGCTAAAATGTAATTTTTGTTGTGAGGTTACATTCGAGTTCACCACCAAAAAAAAAAAAAAAGAAAAAAAGAAAAAAGAGCAGCGTTAAATGCAGCAGATACAGGCCAAATTTGAAATGTTGGAAAGGAAAGCAAATGAAAACATATTTTAGTAGAACTGTTAACTGTTAAAGGGAAGCACTGCTCAAAGGATTCTCTTACTGTTTGGAATGGCTGGATGGTGAATATACAGGTTAGTAACACCATGCTGTGTTTGAATTATGGAAACACCAAATCCTTTCAGAAATCCAGACATCCTGTATCTGCCACCATGGGCTTGCAATGATGTTGGCCGAAGACAATAATTACTACTAAGAGACATAAAGAAACTAGATTCAAGCCTCCCTTTAATTCTTCAGGCAGAGTTTTCTATGACAAAGGTTGAGCATTTACAGCCGGTGGCTGTCAGACTAGCTTTTTTAATTGGTGCAGTTTATTCTTTATTCTGCTGCTTTATTCTAGGTATGGAAGCTTTTGTTTATGGTGACTTCTAGGAACGTTTTAAGAACCCCGTAGAAGGGTCAAGAACATGCTACACCCTGTGCCACTTTTTGTAACTTGTGTGGAACAGGGACCAAATACATTGTTGTTATAATTGATTTGTTAATCAGATAGAAAATATTCATTCTTCAGAGTTTTTGGCCTTTTCAGTCGTAAAATATTGGTTTATCTTTGAAGAACTGCAAATCTATACAAAGTAGGGAAACAAGCAACTCTTGTTCTAGGGAACATACATATTCATAGTGCATATTTTACGAGAGAGATGTTGCAATGAGCAGCAGCCCTTCTGCATGCAAATCACACCTTGGTAGTGATTCTTGACCATCCTATATTTCTCTCAAGTGACTGACCTGAAAGATAAGTAATTTGTGAGGAGCTATTTTCCTGTCAGCTTGCAGCCTCTAGCTTCTGTAAATCATCCTGTGCTTCCTGTGAATTGTGCTTTGAAAATTACTTTTGCTCCTTCCAATTTATTTTATTGAGCTCTGATGGCATGTTATGCATGCACTATGCCTGAATCCGTGCACTTCTGAGATATTTGTGAGGCACGGCACTGCCTGCCAGATGGAGCAGCCCTCAGACCTGGAGGGAACAAACCCATCCTGAGTTTTTATCCCAGCTCTGAAGCTGCTAGAACAGGTTTTGTTACTGTCTTTATACGCCAGATCATGTCTTTGTGAGGATATACATGAATGCGGACAAAGGACACTGGTTATTCCGTATCCTTTTCCCAAACCAGACAAGGTTTATTCTGTATAGGGAGCAAATATAGACGTATAGCAAATACCACCTGCTGTTAATATACTACACATGGGTTTTTTTGCTGTAAATCATCCAGATGCAGAAAGGGGTGATTGTATGGGCTCTTCCCCCTGGCAATGGGCTAACAGCCAGCTCCTCCTGCAGATGGGGACAAGTCCCTGGGCTTGTCATTAACCTCCAGTACTTGTGCGCTCCCCAAGTTTGGCTCTTTTTTCTTCCTCTTCCCTCTGGAAATAGAAGAATGTCCCCGAGTCTTTTTCCCCCAGCAGCATAGGCATCTATTCTTGCATGCTTCTTGGGGTGGTGTGAAACTTGCAGTTACAGCTCAGAGTTGTGATACATGTGCTAGCAGGAAAATGTCATGATTTACATGGATTCTGGATGGAATCAGTCCAAAATGATGAAGACAGTGACCCTATCCATGTGGTTGGGCAGTATAATACAAATACAAGGCCCAAGGGAACAGCTGAGCACAACAGCTAGAAAACACGTCGACTAAAACCATACAGATTATCCCCATTAAAACCTACAGATGTAACCCTAACTTTAGTTGAGAAAAATCAGACCATCGCCACAGCTTCAGCCTCTCTTTGCATCTTGTCTCTAGCAGGTGCTTTGGGAATTTGCGTGCCACCTGTGTGGGCTCCAGAGGTGACATGTAGCCAAATCCTTGGGTGAGAAGCCTTGGTCCCCCACCAGGACCAGTTTTCAGTAGCAGACCTTGTACTTGGGAAGAAGCTGGCTCTCGAGCCTCCCTAACTTGAACACACTTCATCATCTTCCAAACACATGGTGAAAAACGATGTTGTTGTGGGGTGCAGGCAGCTCGTGAAGGCAGGCAGGGTTTCCCTGCCAGCGAGGAAGGCTCTGTCCCCATCATGGGGGCTCGTTGCAGCGTGCTGTGTGGCAGTGTGCTGCTCCTTGGGTGAGGGGGCCTGGCCTTTCTGTGGCCGGAGAAGGCTGCCGACCGCAGAGCCATCCGTCTGCTTTGGAGATCCATTTTAAAAACCCCAGGTGTGTCCCTGGGCCGGGCGTGCAGTGATGGCCGGGCCGGGCAGGCAGCAGCAGAGGCGCTGCCGTGAGCCCGCCCTGGGAGCAGGAGGTGACACTGCCATTCCCCGTGTCGCGGCCGTCAAGCCCCTTGGCTCTCGCCCGCCTGCTATTCGGGTGAAGGAGACAGAGGACGAAAGGCCTGGGGATGTGGTCCTGACCCGGCTGGGCCCCGGGCAAGCGGCCGGTGCAAGCCTGCAGGAACTCCATTTGTTCTCATCTTACCTTGTTTCTGTTAGCAGATTAATCAAACGGTGGGCTCGGAGGAAGCCTAATGGCCAGGGACACAGGGAGAGCTCAGGGGAGGCACAGGTGGTCTATGAGTAGTTGCAAGGAGACCTGAGGCACCCCCTGCCACGAGTAACCCTGTGCGTTGTCAATCCAGGCTGGGTAACATCCTGCACCAAAACCACCAGTCTGATTTTGCTGTTACTCCCTCCACTGCAAACGCAGCCATCTGCTGCCCTGGCGTGAGGGAAATGAGAACTGAGAGGAGATTTCAGCTCAGTAAAGTGCATCTTCAAATAGCAAAAGTCTCTATGTGGTTAATCCCTTTGAAAACAATGGGAGTTTGAAGATGATGTTTGTGACGTTTTGGAGAAAACTGGTTTGGTCTCTCCCCGCATCTAAAAATACAAAAAATCTGGCCATAGATGTATAGCACTAGAGTAAACATTGCTTGCTTCAGTGAAGTCTCACGCGGTGAAACTTCAATCACAACATTGATGTTTTCATCCTATCTCAGTTTTATTTCTGGAAGT